TCCTAGGCCGTGGTGCTGCAAATTCTGCCTCCTCCCCGTTCTCAGGGCTACTCCTGTGTCGAGGCCCCAGCGGGATGAGGGCAGAAGGAAGGTGGAGAGCTTACCTGGCAGTCTGGAGAGCAGATGGGACAGCTGTCCCAAGTGTGGTACAATCCCCAGGTGGTCTCTCAGCAGGGAGGGGAGATAGGGCTGCCCCAGGCACACCCCCACCTGCCGGCAGCCGTGTCTCACCCTGCATCTCTCGAACCACCATGCTGCCCCCTCCCCAGCACCTCACAGGGGTTGCAGGGGGGGTGACCCCAAGGTCTTTGCCTGCTGGGGGATTAGGTGGGTGGGGAGCAGGTTACCGCTAGCCGGTCAGTTGTGATGGCTGTTGCTGTGGGAGGGGGACAGGTCTAGGGAAGGCAGCGTCGTCCCCTAGTGATTGAGGGGTGAGGTTCAGGGAACCCTGCCTGGTGCATGTGGGAGGCGTGGAGGGAGAGCTACTTGCAGAATGAGGCTCCACGCAGCATAGAGTAAAGGATCCAGAATCTCCCATGCTTTCCCTGCACTCTGGATTTTACCTGCTTTCCACCAGGCGAGTTCCTTAGGAACCTTCCAGCCCTAGACAGACACCTACAGCCAGGTGAAGTGTGAAACCCCAGCCCTTGTGAATGAAGGCAACAGACTGAGCCCTCACGAATTATGCTGCAAAATGGGGCGGCCGTCTCGAATGCCTGGCAATATCAAAGCAACAAGGGTGCGTGACATGAGGAGCTCGCCAAAATATTAATGTTTCCTTGTTTGAAAAGACAAGTCCCGTCCCCCCCTTGTGTTCCTTTCAAGTTTTTCCATGTGGTTTTATCATTCAGATGAAGTTATCTGGAGAGGATTCAATATAGTACTTAGACATCTGTATTCAGGGCCAAACTGCCTTCAGATACACACACACACACACACACACACACACACACACCTCCCATTGACTTCATGAAGGCTGCACATGTATTTCTGGACTCAGAATTCCACATTTTCCCAATCCTCTCTCCAGGATCCAGGGACATTCTGCATGTATCTCCTTCACACCACAAACAGGACTAATTAAAAGCACCTCCGGCGATGAGCTCACTTATCGGTTGTGGTCTAATTGTATACCGATCAGTATTTTCCTGCTCAAATGGTATCAAGGTGATATACCCCCAGTTCCTCTCTCTAGGGATGCAAGTGAACAAGTTAAAGAGAGCAGATATCCCCGCAGACAGAACGGTAAGTCTTTCGTATGCTAGACAGCTGCATTGTTCTAGGTCCCTCACCCTCCAGGGTACTATTAATAAAATGATAAAAATAATGAACCGCCTCTTGGGTCACAGGTCGCTGACGCTTCCCAGCATAACAGCTTTGATCTGTGTCCGTCTGGAAACACGAATCCAGGCTCGATTTGCATGAAAATTATTCATGTTTAATAATTAAAGGAAATGTTGAATTTTTAATCCATAGTGTTCTTTTCCCATTTGTTAAATCTGTGTTGGAGCAGAATGGAAACCGATGAACGCTGGCTCTCGATACCAGCGGGATCACAAGTTACGTCACTTTTCCACAAGGTGGCTGCTGTCAGCTAGATCAGCGACCAGCCCTCTGCCAGGAGATGGGCCCACTTCGGGGAGGAGCACTATCATATATTGCAGAGATTGTTTCTTAGACTGTACGGGTCTCAGGGCACGGATTGTGTCTTGATCTGTGTACGTACAACACTT